GGGCCGGGATCTCTCCAGGACGGGGGACTGTACCCGCAGCAACAGCAACAACAGCAACAGCAGGGCTCCTCCTCGTCCGGCAGTCCACAGCAGGCCTGTGGTCCTCCTGTCGAGGGAGAAAGCGGTCCCCCGCCTTCGTTGGCCTCTCCCGTGCCCTCACCGTACCCCTCGGCACCGCCTGAGCCTCAAGCCTTAACCCCACCTGACGACGATATACAATCGAATCAAGCCACCTCTCAGCAGCAACAACAACAACAGCAGCAGCAGCAACAACAACAACAACAGACGCAACAGCAAGTTCAGCAGCAGCAGCAGCAACAACAACAACAACAAGTTCAGCAGCAACAGCAGCAGCAACAACAACAGCAGACGCAACAACAGGATCACTCGCCTCAACAACAACTAACGCCTCACGAGGTGGATCGCAGTGATTGCTTCCCCGGCGCTGGAGAGTTGCAGCAATATCCACAGCACTATTTCAAGGATGCCAGGCCGCATCCGTCGCCGTCGGTACCCCCGCACATGCTCACCCCCGGTGGCTTCTCCGCGTTACACTATCTCAAGCAACCAGGCGTCATGCTGACGTCCCTCGGCCAGGGTGACGGCGGACCCAGTTTGGATGCTCACCAATACGCAAGTCCCGGGGCGCCAAACATGGCGACTGGGTTGCCGGATATCGTGCAACAGAGCGGCAAGTCCGGGAAAGGGGCGAACAGCGATCTACGTTTGTTCAAGTGTCTGACGTGCGGGAAAGATTTTAAGCAGAAGTCGACGCTGCTTCAACACGAGCGGATCCATACGGACAGTCGGCCATACGGGTGTCCAGAATGCGGGAAGCGGTTCAGGCAACAATCGCATCTAACGCAGCACCTGCGCATACACGCGAACGAGAAGCCGTATGCTTGCGTGTACTGCGAGCGTACGTTCCGGCAGCGTGCGATCCTCAACCAGCATCTGCGCATCCACTCGGGTGAGAAGCCATACCAATGTCCGGAGTGCGGAAAACACTTCCGTCAGAAGGCGATCCTGAATCAGCACGTCCGCACACACCAAGGCGAGCATTTCTCTCTGCCTCCCAGACTCCCAGAGGGCGTCCACCACACTGACCCATTCACCGGTTCTTACTGTTGCTATCACCACCGCCACCGCCGCTACCATCGTCTCATCTCTTCATCGTTCATCATCATTTATATTAATACTTATATATGCATATATGTATATATATATATATATATATATGCGTATACGTGAATATGTATATATATACATATATATACATACATACATATATATATATGTAACGTTACGATACTATCGCAATCATAATGTCGTCATCACCTTTATTCATTCGCCGTCATCCGTCTTTTCCATTTACCATTTTTCTTTTCTTTTCCATTCGTTCGATCGCGATTTCTCTCTTCACTAACCCGATATCACCTTCGTATGATTTTCTTCGTTCTTTTGGCGTTTTCTTTAATCCATTTGGTTTCTCCGCTTAACCCTTTCTTTTTGTCTCCTTTCCTGTGTCTCGGTTCCTAGCGGACAGACGCGATCGCGTACGTTTGCTCGTTTCGCAGTTTTCCTCGTGAATTCATCGAGTAAAATCGATCGAAACATCGGCCTCGTTGCCGCCAAAGGCCAACCGAAGAATGAGAACGGTTGAGCTGGACGCGAGAGTGCTGGTGAGCTGTGAGATAGAGGAGCCTCTTCCCCCTAACAGCCCAATGTATCCTCGCCTAATCTACTTTCATATATACCCTTTCTGCCCTCTGCAAGTCTCTCTCTTCATCGATTCGAATTGGCCATGGTTTAACAAAATACGGATGAAATCTGTCTAATGCCGCATCTACGTTTACGATAACGCCATCTAACCATCCCTTTGGCTAGAGCCTCCCTGCTGTTGAAACGCGTCTTCTCGCGATGGTGAAGGAGGTGGACCTAGGACTTGGTGTCCACCTTTGATCGGTCAAACGGAGCACATGGATCTCGCGCTGCTTTATTAACATTAACAACTCGATTAGAAACCGAAGAAAGGACGTTGTAGCTTGCGTGGGTTGCGATGGTGTATTCGCCGTGGCATTTCGATTACAGCGTAACGTGTTCTTTCCACTTGGCGGGCACTCGTAGCTAGTCTGTCTGTTTCTTCAGTGGTCGCGTGGTACCGTAGTCCGGGCTTCTAACAAAAAGTAGAATTCCTCCGCACAGTCCGATCGTCTGGAGAACGCGGAGCATAAACTTGGTTCTCGTGTCTGTTACAGACGTGAGTCCGCATCTGATCTTCAAGAATGGAATGACGCCAACACTCTGGCCGCAGGATGTTCCATTTCCACCGGAGGAGGGCAAGGAGGAGGTGGCATCGACGTTCGGCGACACGGACACACAGTCGGGCGCGTTCAGTCCGGCGCCGGACGCGAATTCCATCCAGTATCCCGCTTACTTCAAGGACCCGAAGGGCGGGAATCACGCGGTTTTCGGTGCCGGCGGCGCAGGTAGCTTCGGTGCTCTGCAGTATATCAAGCAACAGGGCGGTAGTAAGAGTTGTTTACCGGACGTGATACAGCACGGCCGCTCCGCGGGGATGCCGTTGTACGTGCGATGTCCGATCTGTCAGAAGGAATTTAAGCAAAAATCGACGCTGCTGCAGCACGGCTGCATACACATTGAATCGCGACCGTATCCTTGCCCGGAGTGCGGCAAAAGGTTCAGGCAACAATCGCACTTGACCCAACACCTTCGCATTCACACGAACGAAAAGCCGTACGGCTGCGTTTATTGCGGCCGCAACTTCCGTCAACGTACCATCCTGAATCAACATTTGCGCATTCATACCGGCGAGAAGCCGTACAAGTGTCAACAGTGCGGCAAAGATTTCCGTCAGAAGGCGATACTGGATCAGCACACGCGCACCCATCAGGGTGACCGGCCGTTTTGCTGTCCGATGCCAAACTGCAGGCGGCGTTTCGCCACCGAGCCAGAGGTGAAGAAGCACATCGACAACCATATGAATCCGCACGCGGCCAAGGTGCGTAGGAACTCGAGCAGCGACTCGAAACCACCCGGTACACCGGCTGGTTTAGGCCCTGTCCCTGTA